GTTGCTGACTGGTATCTTCGTCGTCGTTGCGTCGGTCTTCGTCAGCTGTCGTTGTGCTGCCACGCCCCCGACTGGCAGAGGGCAATGAGCAGGTTCTGATCGCCGATTTTTCGCAGTCTGCCTCAGTTCCCCAACAGCTTGGTAACCCGGGCGACGACCGAGCCGGTATTTTCGATGGCGTCAATACCATGAGTGGCAGGTGGCTGAATTGTGCGTAAACTTGCCACGGTCTCCAACCCTCCTCCTTTCTGATCCGGGCTTGGGATCGGCAATGGCGTAGTTTCGAGGCAAGATATAGGCGAAATTTTCATACTTATTTCTCAGCCCAAACATGGAATTTATTATCGAAATTACTGTAAGCAAGCGCGATCATTCTGTTTAATTCTGATTGGATGGTGCGTTCCTGGAAATAATGGGCCGAACTGCGACGACGTCTCTTCTAGCGTTGCTTTTTCTTGTTGCTCTTGCTGATCTGTTCTACCAGGTCAGTGCCGTAACTTACGTAGCCTTTACGTCTCAAGGACTTTGCCTTCTGGGGTGTACAGTTTCGAAAAAGAGTGTCAAAATGTAGCTTTTATATCAAAGGCAGAAGTGCAACTCCTTTGCGAATTGCGTACGATACTAAGGTATCGATCAGTCTGTCATTTTACATACATGTCTGTATTTTTGTGGAAAGATTTTTGTAATGGCCTGGTTTCAAAGGTTCTGGTAGCTATATCGAATCTACTTGATTGCATTGGTTAATCTCTCTCGCGTTTCACTTCCTGCTGCGTTTATCTACGAATGTAGGTAAATGTCCTTCTCGCGTTAGTGACTGTCAGCTGACTGGGATCAAACCAAGTCAGCGAATCGTGCACTCCCAGATAAAAGAATGAGTGCTTCGTAGTCCTGATCGCTTGATCATCATTTTATCCCGCCTGGGCAACATTCCGAAGCATCGGAGGGCTCGTGTTTCCAGGCATGAAAACGCTCTCAGAGCACTTCTCTACATTCATCCAAATTCCATTCTCTCATGACCACTCTATTTTTTCAACCTCTCTGAAATATTCAGACAGTTCTTCTCGGTTGGACACTGCCACAGTCATTGCCATGCCATCACCATGTTTTTGACTTAAACGGAGGAAGCTCACTTAGTATGCCGTTATGTAGATTGAAGACAACAGAGGCGAGAGAACCGTTCCTCGAGAGACTTTTAAATTGCTCGCTAGCATCCTCGATCGGCTCTTGGGCGGTGTAACGAACTGCGATCGGTTTGTCAGGTATGCAGCAAGACACCTCAAAGCGTACGGACCGCACTCGGACTGTCATAACATACTTAATAGTCGATCACGGGGCCCGAGGTTTAAAGGATGATGAAAAGTTGGTGAAGGCGCAAAGCACGATTCGCCTTCCTTTATCGAGTTGCCATAGAAGGCCGAACGGGAGCGGTTTTGACCAGGCCTGCTGCGACTCTACGATCGAATGCATGCGTAGCCGTTCGAAAGAATTGGCAACGTTGTAGCTGACAGTCACTTGAGGAAATTGTGCAGACCCCGAAGCACCCTCTTTCTTTGGGACCACCGTCACACGGGACATTGGCCAAAATGCCGGAAGTTGTTCCAAAGCAGGCAGACATTGAAAATGCCCGTGAAGGCTGGTGCCAATTCTGCTGCACAGTGTTTAATCACTGCGGATGAAACTCCGCCCGGGTCTCCGGTAGCTGACAATTTCAAGTTCTTAAGGCAACGAATGGTTTCCGCCACCTTGTGGATGGGAAAGTTATCATGTCGGTCGCAGAGGTAATCAGAATCTATCCGATATGACGTAAATTAGTGCTGGTCCTCGTATCGGAGGAAAAATGCATTTTCCTAGTCAGCGTTTAATCCTGACAATAAGCTTCATTGCAGATGTTCACTCATCTCATTCAGCTGTCACCATTTCTCTCGACGACATGTCAAATTTAAGCCAAGTTTCCCATTAAGGATCTTTCTCAACCATTCAGGATGGCTCAGAAGAACTGTCAGTTTACCTCTTTTCATTGATGATATGATATGATACTGCCATAGTAGGAATACTCGGTTTAATGCCTGTCTCCCCTTTTAAGTGTGGGGCAGTTGCGTCAAACTTCCATTCTCTAGAGAAACGTTTTGAAGTCAACGTTCAACAATGAGGGTGCATGGATTTTCCGTCATTCCCATTTCTCCATTCGTTCTTTGCTGTTTATTCCTGCTGACAGCGAATGCATATCTTGATCCCAAAAATAACAGATATACTGGGAACTGGTACCTCGTTGGATAGTCTGTAGAAGCGCAACATGATTCGCACTGCGGAAATCTTTCAAATACATTCTCATCTAAGTTGCTCTTACTCCAGATGGAAAAATTGCAGATGGTTTGGATTGATAATTAGAACGCCAAAAGAAATGGTATGTAGGCAGGCTCTGTTCGCAACTCATATGCTAGGCGAAGGATTAAATTTCTCGCATTTAATGAGTACATATCATTGTGACGCCTTGGAATCCAGCTCTTTTTTGATTCTTCGATTGCTGAAATACCCGGACCATCGGGTAAAGTTCTTTAAGCTGATGTAAAGTATTAAAGCGACTGCTTCAACCTAACCCCTGCTGTATTGCAACAGTCTTGACAGCTGATGCTAATGTCTTACATCAGCGAAAGCCAATCACGTGACGATGAAACAGGTCCGTGAAATAATAACAAATATGTCGGTTGTGCTTTGTCATTCGATAAGCAAATATTTTGTACTGTCAAATACGACCGTGTTTGATGCGTATTTTCCTCATGACTCGTAAATGCATGAACAGTTTCCTCAATGGATATGTCTGGTGTTCACAAACGTAACGTTTAATTTAGGAGTTATGGTTCCGATGAGCTTTTCCTTGTTGAATCCCGTCCAGCTGACGGAAGTTCTTCAGCGGCTACAACCTTTTTCATTGGTGGTGCTGTCAATGACGTTACTGTGTTTGGACATTCATGCGTTCATCGAAGGCAAACATTATTTTGTAAAGTTTTTCGTTTTTAGTTTTTTGTTCTTTTACGGAATATGTGCTGGCGCAGTGTACTCGAAGCGGAGAAGTCACGGTAACTTCTATTTTGCTGCCTTTTGTAAATTACTTTTTTACATTCCGCTGTTAGTGACTTTTGACGTGTTCGGAACGGACAGAGCGGTGACTTTGTACGTGATGTTTCTCATATTTGAAATCTGTTTGTTGTTTACGTATATTCCGCGGCTCCTGATGGCTATATTTAAAGCGATTGTAGCGGTCCGGGATTTCATAAAAAACTACGGTTTGTATTCTTTTTGCCAAGTTCACTGGCAACGACTACGTATACCGTTCCTATTCGGCGTATTCTGTTGTACCCGGACGGCTACCCTGCTCGGTGCCACTGTCTTCGATGGGAAACGATTGGTGGTGAGTGAAACTTTGAGCGGACTGACCGAAGATGATTACTACTGGGTGGCATCTGTTTCTGGCCCTTATTGGTGCTTGTTCAGATATTTGCTGGTTCGTAACTGTGAAACACTGACGGCTTTGATCGGCGTTTCCAGCATTTGGTCTCGTTTTGCCGGCATCGTCTCGGCCATCTTCAAGAAACTTGTAAATGATAACGACGTCGACAACGATAATTGGGCACCGTCGACCGGTATCTTGTTCCTGTTCCTGTGCATCCAAACCGGAGTGACCAGCTTGAGTCCTGAGTTACGGATCGCGAAAATATATCGCAATTTTTGGCTGCTGTTCATGACCTTAACGCATATTTTCCACGGCGTCCTTGACAAGATGCTGATGCGTGCCACTGCAACGGGGTTCTACAGGTTTCGACGCCACGCCGTATGTTACTTTGCCTACTTGCTCATACTGTTTGTACCAGTGATTTTCTTGACAAAGGTTTGGCCTTACGACCTGTACAACCCGTGGTTGATCTCGGTTGCCATATTTGCAGTGGAGTTGCTTGAAAAGCTACTGATTACGCTGGCCGTTTATCTGGTATCACTTGCTGACGGGCTGCAATTCAGCTTTCTGTCGGCGGTCGACGACGTGATATTTTGTATTCGTTGCATTGGTTCTGTTGTCGAGTTCGTGTCTGGTATTCTGCTGTTTGTCAACGGAGTTTGGATCTTTCTGTTCGAGTATGGAGGTTGGCTGAGGGCGTTGATGCTGGGAGTCCATGCGTACTCAAATCTGTGGCTTGTAGCGAACAACGGCTGGAAAAGTCTGAAACGTAGAAGAACGGCGCGGAGCCAGTTTTCCGTGATCGCCGATGCTTCGTCTGAACAAATTGTAGCTTTCGACGGCATCTGTTGCATTTGTTACTCGCGAATGACGACTAATGAACCAACGAAGACCTTACATTGCAAACATTTGCTGCACTCAACTTGTTTGAGGAAATGGCTTTGTTTTCAGGACAAATGCCCACTTTGCTTTGCCCCTGTTTTTAACAAAGATCGGACATGAGGTTGCTTGTCTAAGCTATATCTCTTTTTTGACTGTTAGATTAAAGATTCCAGCTTTCATTTAATGCAATCGAAATCCCCGGGCCGTTAACTTCATATCAGGATTGATTAGTCCATATGTGAAATGCTGTGCACCTGAATATCTGAGAGACTTCATATAGATGCGACCAGCACTCAGTTTATTATGCTGTGACCCTTAAAAGGTGCATCGATCAGCATGAAGAAGCTGTCGATCCAGTACCAGCAGTCGCAGTACCTGCGTTTTCATTGGCTTTTTCCCCAGGTTTGTCTTTTCTTCCGTCTGAACTCCATTTACGCCGCCTCAGTTAAGAGTGGTTGGATGGACGCGGGTAAACTGGTTCAGTTCCAAAGCATGATACTCTCTTTATCTGATCTTCAAAAGTTTGCTGTCGGATAAGATTGTACCGACAAATAGGCTTAGATCTTTGAACCTGAATGGCCGGTTATGCCGAGCTGTACGGCTTGGCTTGTTCCGTCATGCTAAGTGGTAAACTGAACGCAGTGCTCAGGTCAAAGTCGTTGACTGTACTCTGCAGATACTCATCCCAGTCTTCATGTGCGCGGGTAAATATTTCAGCTATACACTTAATGTTTATTATGCTGTCCAGTCGCTTCAGATATTTTCCACCTGTATCCGTTCACGTTTTACTTGCATTATATGTAAATTCCAGGTAGGAACATCAGCGTATATGTGTTGTTACTGCATGGCAGCTTACTCAGTAGAATACCTACTGTCACCAGTACCACATCAAAAAATCTGTAAGGATCAAATAATGTCTGTGACAAGCTTCATACTCAGATCAGATATCGGGCTTCTTAGCCATAACAGTAACAACGCTACGACTGTGCCATTGCGAACAGTTTTGAAAAAATGTAAATAAGTAATAAAAATAGTAAAATGTGACTTCGAAGTAGCGCCTCTAAGATGAATTCAGCATTGCTGACCATGCAAAAAGTATTATGAGAATAGTTCTTGCTCACATCGTAAAATAAACGAGTCTTTGTGGAACTGGGTTCCTGGGACGATGCAAATGAATTAGTAATGGGTTTTAACGTACACAGGTATGAGGTTTAGGCAAAATGCTTCTGAAATTGAGCAGTGCAATATAGTAAGCGCTTCATCTAGCAAGTATGAAACAAAGGAATTTTAGAAGTTGTTTGTTGTGAAGGGGGAACATTGTTTTGAGCCTCAAAACCTCCATCCTCCAAAAAATAGTATTCAGTGCATTAAACTGTTTATTGATCTGTAATAAAGTGGGTATTGATGTCTTCTCGAACTGCGAATTGTCATTGAAAGTGGGAAGTTCGACTGCATTGCTGCCCCTGTTTTTCAGGAGTTTTATGTCGAAAATAAGATATTAAGTGACCTAGAAATAACACCTAACAGGGGGAGCAAAAAAGTGAAAGATTTCCTTTGAATGTCTATATATAGTGACTACCGGGTACTCCGGTTTTGTTTGAAATCATTTGCAAAGGCCTGGCTTTGTCTACCAAATTATCGTGGCGGTTGTTGTGAAGGAGGTCTGTTCTACCTCCCTGTCTGTTGCTGCCAGATCCTCAGTGTCACTTGATTGAATCTCGCAGACTGAAGTCGAAAGTGATTACGGCAAAGAGGGAGGAGCTAAACTTTCAGCACGCTCAGAGTGGTTTCACCTCCTCAAAGAATCAACCAAAGACTACCGCCTCCTGTCTTGAAGTAGGCTAGTAAGATTCGGATAACGGAGTCGATGCTGGTGTTTATGCGTCGGAGCACGTTTATTGCGCTGATTGCAAATATAAAATTCCATGTTACTACTAATTAGCAAGTAAAATACTCCATTATGTATTTCATGCATATAATTGGTTCCCGCCATTGCTGGTCCCAAGACAGGATGAGAAAGGAGAAAGGTTAAAGACCGTGGCGACGAAGTCTCCGTAAAACTAGTCACCTGCCCTTCACGGTATTGACGTTATCGAAAGTTATACCAACTCGGTCATCACGCGGGTTACCAAAGTCAGCACAGGCGGACTGCGAAAAGTCGTCGATCAGAACCTGCTCATCTCCCTCTGCTAGCTAGAGGCGTAGCAGCACAACAACG